AAAATAAGGAAATTCATTCCAGAATCACTGATTTAGCAAGAATTCATGCAAACTCAAGGGACTCAAAAATGTGTAAAATTACAAGACAGTTAAGTCCTACAGGAGATAGGTACAGAGGAGTCGGAAAACAAACAGTAAAATGGTAAACTAGCTGCTATGTCAGAGGAGAATGTACAGCCATAAAGGGTATTCAAAGATGGAAAGGACAGGACTAAGAAGGGATCGGGTGCTGCTGAGTTACAACAGAAGTACAAGTTTGACCACCATTTGTAATTCCTGCAAAATACAAGTAATCATTGCTAAGGAAATGGATATAAGGTAAGTCTAAATTCCAGAAGCACGGGAAAGACTAGCAGTATTTCCCCCATACCAAATAGATGTGAAAAGTTGCAATATATTTGAATGGCAATAAATCAACAAAACAATCAAGGGCCAGATCTTCAGCTTGTGTGAACCAGCATGTCCTAAATGATTGAGTAACTAGTCCTAGATTTCCCACTCAAAGGGAGCGTGGTAACAAGCAACTACTCCGAAGTAATCCCATTGTAATGCGCCAGGTAAAAAGCTGCATCTGTACAGAGTATAATTCACTGCAGCTCAACCTGCTCATAGTAGAACTGCCAACATCTCTTGAGAACCAACACAGCCAAAGATGTACAAGACAAAATTAAAAACATAAGATGAAGTGGTTGAAGAATGTGGAAGCAAGCCATGAAAGCTACCAAACACTACGTAAGAGCCAGGAAAATCACGAAAGAAAGAAAAAGCTAACTGGAAGGACTCTGTTTAGAAGGGAAACAAGTACTTAAGCTTAGTAGATCCTGCCAGAAAACAAAAGGAGGGCTAAAAATTGAATGCATATCTGGTTGACTAGACTGACATGTGAAGATCTGATAGGTGCATTTTCCAGATTACACCCACTTGAAAAGGAGCCGAGTTCCTGACACTTCCCAGATCAGGTTCTCAAACTGCAGCAGAGGTAAGTTGTTTCACAGCTGCTTCAGCTTGGAGACTTCTAGATTTAGATAAAAAGGTACCCAAATTTATGTGAAGGTAAGCTGACATTTTACCTTAAGATCAGATAGCTGAGCATAAGGATGGACAGATTTGGTGCCAAGAGCATGGACACAAGAGTTTGCCTAGATTTCTAGGAACACATATTGCAGAAATGTGTGCATGTTTGTAATAGCTGATCATCAAAGTGATATTCTTGCAGTCAAACAAAGTGCAACGTAAGGTACTTGGTAATTCTTAAATTTTACATTTGGACCTCAAAGCTACTACAGAGAACAAGGAAAGATACTAGCCAGAAAATTATGAGAGAAAGCTCTTCTGCCCATCTTTTGTTGGTTCTGGCAAGGCGACTGCTTTATTCTTTGAAATTCTCTATGGAGCACAGACAGTAAAAAGAGCGTTTTGTCACAGTATATGAACCTGAAAAGATCACTGCCATCTGCTCCACTAACATGCAATTCTGTTTGTAAGTGACTGATCTGGGCATTACTTCTCATTTCCAGTTCAAGTATGCTTACTGAAAATTGTTATTCAGGAAGAGGATGAAGCCACACTGTATTAGCAGCATTGGTCTATCATTTTTGAGAGAGTTGTCAGCAAAGCTTTTCCTTTGAAGATGATTACGTATCAGCTCACTGATCAACTCCTACATTGTATTTCTTGATCAAGATGCTTTGCTTGATCATTAACAGATGGTTTTGGAAGCTTAAGTCCTTCAGTAAACACTTCATAAGTAAGCCCAAACATACACATTCTACTTCCCAAATGAAACGTATTTTCACATTTAGTCTCACACCTGGCTGCATTCCAAAGGCAGTGGGATTTAAGTCCAGCATCTTTTTCAATGACCATCTCAAATTCTCAGGCTTTTTTTGGAAAATTAAAACCAGGTTAGTTTTATAAAAGGAATTTGGGAGTTGTGACATGATCCAGATTTTTCCAAGAACAAAGAATGCAGAGATCAGTTTAAAGGGCAAACTGAGGGAATCTGTCATTAATATCTTGCAACACTGGACCAGATTTTTTTAGGACCAGATTTTTTAGGACCAGATTGTGATAAGCTCTACTCAGGTGCAAATGGGACCCAGACTATGAAACACAGTAAAAGTGATTCCTGGTTTCACTCCAGCTTCAGCTCTGCCCTACTAGACTTTGCCGCTTGATAGGCATGTGAAAGCTTGCTGTGAATGCTGATGTTCAGCAGAAGGAACAAGCTGGTTGGGAGAAGCTCCCTGACTACCCTGAGGCAGCAAAGGGCTTCCCAGCACCTTAGGGAAGAGCCCCAGGTCAAGCCAAAAAGTGACTCGATGTTCCTATCACATATGACAGACAAGTCCCAGTTCTACACAACAAGTTAGCCACACAAAAAACAGCCCACTTCAGACTCAGCATGACCAAAGCCAAGCATTCACTAAGAGACAGAAGCTCCTTGCAACAACCACATTCAGTAGGAAAATGAACTCAGGCACAAATGAAACAAATCTACATGATCACATTTGAAGTTGGCTTCCTTACAAGCTTGCATCTTTCTGCTATTCTAACTCACCTTCTTTGGCAGGAAATGGACTCCAACAGAGTATTTGTCACTATTGGTCCACAGCTCGATCTGTGCCAACACCTGGTTGGTGAAGGAGTTGCTCATAACAAAGCTAGGGTGACCCATGGCACAGCCCAAGTTGACCAGTCGGCCCTCTGCTAGCAGTATAATATGACGGCCATTCCTCAGTGTATAGCGATCCACCTGGGCGGGAAAAAGCAAGAGCAGTGCGATGTCAGGGTGAAGACAGCATTTTAAATCATGCAAAGCCTGGTGGGCTTTCTTCCCACATCAACAATTCAGCAGTGAGCTTGCAACGCAGACTTTGATTACAATTGAGACACCCCTCCTCCCTCAATTCCCAGCCAGTGTTTGCAAAGCCTGTGGCTATTCTGGACTTCGCACAACATGAATGTTAGCACCTGCTTCATATTTAACCAGTTATCCAGTTGTTCTGGTTTTTCCACATGCATGTTGTCTCAGATGGCTGTGGTGGGGAGCATGCAGTAAAATGCAGTTCATATATGCCTAATTGTAACAACTGCTGTTGAGACAGGAGAGAAGAGGGAACACCTCTGCATGCAACAGTCCAGCCTTTCCATCTAACACAGGGGTAAAAACAGAGTCCTCAGCCTGCTGAAACTGCTCCCCTGTAACTCTTCCCACTTCCATAAGGCCAATGCTTTACAGTATAATAAACAGCTGTCCTAGCTTGTGGTGCACCCTCCTTTGCTCTCAGGGGACCAGAGACATGGTCCTCCACTCAGACTGATTTCCAAGCTATGCTGGGGACAACAGGACTCTGCACAAAGAATCAAGTCTCAGATGGGCTAAGGAGACGGGTCTTCAGCTATATGAGAGAGTCCCACACAATTCAGAAGATAACGTCACTTAATATGCACCTCAACTGCCTGGACCAGATTGGGCTCCTGCAATGTTAAAGTTAACTGTGCTTCTCCTTTCCACCAGTGACTAGCTCTTCTCTCTCCTGCCTTCACCCCTGTAGGAGGTTACAATGAAACACCAATATGGCCTATAAGTTACAAGAATACTCAGTATTCACTGGTATTTATTGCTCATGTCACACCAAGCACATGGGAGTAGACCAAACCTTTGGAAAGACTCAAAAGTTATTTAATATAGAGCAAAACACACATCACTTTCAGTTTCATTCTTAAAGCTTTGGCCTGTAAGTTAAAAGCCATGTGGGATGAAGCTATAATTGTAACAATAGCATCTTCTGAAAACAACATCTTTGTACAGGTCCTTAGCAGAGATGCAATAAATAAACCAGTAGAAACCATTTTTGGTTCCCTTAGCGTCACTCTGAACATCCTGCTTGCAATGGCAGCTGTTTATATAACAAACCAGAGAGATTCAGAGTAGGAGGCAGGTCTTCAGCATTAAACCATATGGACGACCTTGACCCTAATTCCATCCTTTTGAAAAGGTAACATTCTGTTTTTAACCAGAAACTTGTTATAACAAGTTTTCATACCTTGGACTAGACTGCATGTCATTGCACTTAATACATCTGTGACAGACTAGCTCCTTCAATACAGAGTATATAAAGACAGAGGGACTACTGTCTCTGCCAACAGTGACACAGTTTTTCATATGGACTTTAAGAGCCACAATGAATGGTCACGTGCGGGTAGTTTGTATGTTACCATATTAACATCCAATTTAACCTTCAACAATGTTTACTTTTGGAGCAGTCCCATTTTTAGTTTTAAAACCAGAGCTACTGGAAAGCAAGCAGCTAGGGGCAGGCTCCTCTAGGACAAGAGCTGTTGAGCAAAGTCACCTCCACACTAAGGTCATGGGCAAGAACAGACTTGAATGCAGTGAGAACTTGAGGGCCTAACTCCATGCCTAGTTGAGCCCACGTAGAGTGTCCCAACAGCAAGCAGGATACCGAAAAGGCTCTCACAACCGCTTTGTAAGAGTCTGATGTGGGTGGCCAATAAGCTACAGGGGTGTTATGAAAATTGGAAGGGCAGATCGAGATCTACTAAGACATATGTGTGGGTGTGGTGTTTTTAAAAAAGTAGAAAGCCTGTCCCAGAATCCTGCTATCAGCAAGCACACAAGTCCCATGCCAAGTCAGACAAAGCCTGGCTGGCTTTATGTGATGTTCTCCCTCAATGCTGGCGTTACAAAACAGTTTTGATTTAGTTTAGTTTTGTTTCTCTGCTTTAGGACACAGCTGAAAAGCAGCAATTTTTAGATCCCTATTTTCCTGTGCAGCTACAGCCATAGCTTGCAGTAAATACATGGTGGGAATGCAAGCTGAGCAAGGATAAAACATCTTATCTCATCTGCCCACACGCAGACTTCTGGTCTACACAGGTTTCTAAAATGAAGCCACTAAGTCTGGAAGAGAAGACTGAGTTTGGCAGAGCTCCAGACAGGCTTTCCTGAGGCTTCAATCTCCAAGTAAAAAAAAAAATGCTTTGAAAACAGAGGTGTGAAGTTTTTCAAACCTTGACAGAATCCCAGAAGACATTCCCTTGAGATTCACTCTAATCCTGGCACCCTGCACCAGGACCAAGATTGTTCTGGTGCAGAGCAGTACATGAGCAAGCAGCTTCCTGAGAGGAAATTCGTATCAGCCACCAGGTAATCTATGGGCTCTGTTCTTAAGAAGTTTTATATTGTCTCTAATGGTCTGTTCTGTATTCATCATCTGATTTGCTTTTTGAAACTGAGATATGGCATTGTTTTCAGCTGGGGGCTATCAAAGAAAGCACATTTCCATACCTCCTCACCATACCCCAAACATCAAAGCTGACTCCCTGCATGGAGTGAACTTGATGCAATTAATTGTTTACACAATCACCACTAAGGGGTAGGCTCCTGTTGGTCAAGGAAGTAGGAATACATGGAGAAAGATGCATCCATAGCAGGCACCTCTCGTCCGAGGCCACGCTGTACACTTGGGCACTGGCTGGAACCAATTGCTTTAATACCAACACAAGACTATGACATGCAGCTTGTTCCAGGTTAATTGGGGAAGAGCAGAGCAGAATCTTCATTCTGATCAGCCCAGAGCAACACTGGCTTCCAAGAAAGCTAGAAACACAATGTACCTGAAGAGAAATAACCCCCTTTCTGGAAAGGGGCACTGAGTAGCTATTGCTTCTTTCTAGCAGGAGAGCTTGCATAAGGGCTGTCTCACCTGAGGTTTAACATTCACCGCCTCTACTGCATTTTCATTCAGCCACTTTGCATCAACTTCCACATCAAAATGGCCAATATTACACACTATGGCATCATCCTTCATCTGCTCAAAGTGCCTGAAAAAAAGTTATATCAAAAATTAATGGACAAAAATTCTTTTTCAGCACCAGAAGATGCTCTGGTCCATAGCTCTGCTCAAGGAGAAATGAAAAGTACCCAGCTCACTGACTGCATTTGACTCTCAAGATGTGTGGGTCTGGTAATCTTCCAGGCATGTGAAGTCTACTGGGAAAAACTCTCACACTTCTAGGGAAGGACACTTCCCAAAGATATAAGAGGTTATTGGAGAGAAAATATTTTCCCAGTATGGGAAGTAAAACTATTTTGTTTAATTGGTCAAAACTGAAATACCTGCAGTAACTCCCTTTCCTACACAGAAGAAATAATTTTCTTCATGACTTTAGTCTCTAGAGATGCAAAACTGCTGGAAACTTTAATGGCCTTATCTCCTCCCACTTAATCTAATCTTCCACTACAACATGTACAACCATAACAGCAAAGATAGGAATGAGTTTGTGTAGAGTGGAGGGGCTATAAATTGAGATCTAAGAAGCAATAACAAGAAAACTGCAGGGTAGTTTATTGAGAACAGGCTGGTTTTCAGTCTGCTATGTGTACTCACAGATGGAATCACTTTCAACCTTTACCCACTTCCTCTTCTGTTCACATTTATCTGTCCTAACACAGAATTTAGCCCTGATGCTCTCATTCTTCAGAAGTCTGTCTATCCCTCTACACCTTTTGTTTCTCCATCATTACATGCTGTAAGACAGGAAAAATTGCAATGTGGCAACATCCAACAGAACTGAAAGACTGAAGCCTCCATTTCTCACTAAATTGATGCTAAATTCTGATGTCCAGAAATGAGACCGTGTGCCAGCCCTCACCATACTACTGACAAGTTATGATTGTATTTAAAAAAAAAAAAATCTAACTGTATAGGTATGCTTTCACTAAAGCAAGTGGCTAGACCATACCTGCCCTGAACAATGTCAGTGCAGCCAGTGGTGGTAACAAAGATATTGCCTTCTTTGCAGGCCTCCTCCATGGTTGTAACTTCATAACCTGAAAAGAGAAAAAGTTATTCCTCTACCCAACCACCAGTACTTATTAAAAAATGGGCTATAATATTACAAGTAGAAAAGTATGGAGAAAGAATAAGTAAGAGAAGTCTGGGCCAACACCTGACCTATGGAGGATGCAAGGTAGTGGGCATACTTGTCTTACTAAATACCAACGTAGCACAAAAATATCTATCCCTCACCTGTTTCCACTCTGTAGATCTATACATTCAATGTCTTATGTCCATGGGTGTAGTATCTGGCACAGCACTCAGACTGGATGCAGGGGGTCAAGTTTGCACAGGGAAGTGCACCCACAACACCTGCAGGTTCTAGTCAGGTATGACTAGAAATGGGATAAATTGGTACTAAGAAGCATAGTTACATGAGGCACTCACAGAAGAGAAGGAGCACAGGTTCCAGAGCATGCTGTGAGCACAGCTGGAAAGGCAGAGAGCGTGGCATTACTCTCCAAAAACATCTACTGAAGGTAAGGCCTGCTGTTTTACTGTGGAGATATTCTAGTGAAGTCCTAACCTCCAGTGTGGGTTAGAGTTGCACAACTTGAAGATAATGAACCCATTCAAAACCAGGCTTACAGTGGTATGAAATGGGGGCCTTACCCCACTATTGTATCTATATCCGTGACTCCAAACACATCTTCAAGGCCTATGCTAATAAACTCCTTCCCTAACTGTAAGGAAAGAATTCCTACAGTTAAACTGAAGTCAACTCTACCTCAACAGGGACAGGGCTGAAACCCACTGAAACTTTCTCGGCCAGCTATTTTTTATGGCTCTACACTAACATGCAGAGACGCCCGTCAGATGCATTAATTTCTGCATCTCCTTCAGTTCTCACCTTCCATGGCTGCCTGCAGTGCATTGATGGGATCGATTTCAGTGATGATGACTCTGGCTCCAAAGCTCCGCAGGGCCTGAGCGCAGCCTTTGCCCACATCACCATAACCTGCCACGACTGCTACTTTTCCAGCAATCATGACATCTGTAGCACGTTTGATGCCATCGATGAGGGACTCTCTGCAACCATAAAGGTTATCAAACTTGCTCTGAGGAAGAAAAAGGAGTAGTTTCAGAACAGATCAAAGTCACTCAAGTAAAAATTCCTTAGAGAAACAAAATGGACTTATATGCAAGTACTACCAACCAGGAGGCTGACAGTCAGCTAAATACTTTAACCACAGTGACGGATGGGAAGAAGATAACCTGGTTTGATGCTTTTATTTATCCAGTTTCAATCTATATAGTTATACCAGATACAGGCTTCAGCACACCCCTGGTGAGAAGCATTTCATAAATATGTTGTGTCTACTGACTAGGGCATGTTGAAAGCTTGTTAGAGATAACCTGAATTTATCAAGTAAAAGCACAAACAATTCTTGTGTACAGAGGTAGGTCCGAGTTCCTCAACCAGATGTTCACCAGTTCTCTGCTGCTGTTTACCAGACAACAAAATGACACAGGTAGGCAAAAAACAGTAGCAGAATATCTGGCCAATTGGTTAGCACATATTCGTATCTTTGCAAGACACATGTACCCTGCAGAAGCAGCAAGTTGCCCATATCAACCATGAGAAATTGGTTCCTACAACCCAGGGACATCAAAATTGCATCTTCCCCCGGGAAGAGTCACACTAACACTGCCAGACCTCACCACTGCTCAGATCGAGAAAAATCCAGCAAGTAGCCATTCACAATACTGGTCACTACAACAAAGAACCCCTGGATTTCATCTCCTAATGCTCCATCGCACAACATCCCCCTACTGTAACATTAACACATGAGCTTAACAGCCAGACCTCCAAATCACAATTCCCCTGCTAAGTCAGATGTCAAATAGTACTCCACTTGACCATCTTCCTGAACTCAGAAACACATTGCTGTACTGATTTTTGTAATGCTTCTCCTTTTTCTCCTTTGGACTTTTGTTTTGACCAAGAGGATGGGCTGTATAAACAGATTTGATTTTCTGAAGAGTTACGAAAGCCAAGAATTTTAAAAAAATCTGGCTACCAAAGTTGTGCTATGCTTCCCAAGGCAGGGGTATAAAGAGTTCACCATTCACAGCAAAATTCTAGTCTCAAAGCCTGCCCCCTCCTTTCTATAACCTTAAGTCACCAATCATTCTTGCTTTCACGTAACACAGGTAGCGCTCTGTCTGCTATGAGCAATCTGAAGACTGCATACCTAGATGTGAGTAGGGGCACTGATCTTTCAAATGGGACCTACCTTGCAGCTATGGCTGGTGCCATCTAGCACATGTAAGATGAGGTTACAGTTCGGTTTTCAGTCTACAGCTTACAACTGTAAATTTTTTATAATAAAAAAATGCAAAGTCCATGTATAAAAATGTTGCAGCTATGACTCCAATGCATTCTCTGAGCAAGTTAGAAGGTACAGTGGCATATTGCTCCCAGCCTCAGAAGCTGGCAGGGGACTGATGTGTAAGAAGTTGTATTTCAGATCCAGAAGTTCCTGACTCAGTGCCTGCAAGTCGCATCACAGGCACATTTCCCATTAATATTTCAGAAAATTTGTGTTCTCAATCCTTCGAATTCCAAAGCTAGTACCAGTTGGTAATCCTCTTTTCTAGCCCTCCAACAGATTTTCCTTGCAGTATAAGCCTTCTTATGGAGGAAAACAGCATGGTGAGATTTGATTCATCATCACCAAATCCCCCAATTGCAATCAAAGCCTTCCAGGTGCCTGTGCATTCCCATGGTAGCAAGGCAAGGTAGCAGAGTGCTGGATGCAGACATCCATCCCACTCAAAAATACATTTGAGTGGCAGGAGGGAAGAACAGAACTGGATGTGGCCTGCCTTCTCTCTCCAAATACTAGTATAGGAACCTTGCACCAAGTGAAAATATCAAACTGGGAGAACAGAATTTGTCAGCTCCGTTGCATGTCTTCCTGGAGATCTGTAACTGTGGTTAGTACAAATCTTTTATCACATAAATACCAAGCAGTACTTGAAAATAAGCACTTGGGTTGAGCTCACTTTAGTGCCAAACAAATCCACTCAAGAGGCTTTTTTAGAAACATCTGAATTTCCAAATCTACTAAACAGTATTAATAGTTATTATGCAGGAGGCACAGGTCTAGGTGAAAAGGATGCAGAGAAACAAGCTTCTTCCAAGATCAACTGGATTCCAGCCCACTAGCTATGAAATAAAAATGCCAGATGCATCTTTGAGCAAAAAGGAGATACTCTTCAGATAGCAAACTGCAGAGAAAGCAGGCCAAACAAACAGTGAGAAATGCCATGCCCAATAGGAATAATGTTAGTTATGGTAACTTGAAACAGATTTAGCAACTAGATTTACAACACAAATGCATAAACCTTAAGTACGCCTGAAATTCCCACTATAATTCATCTGCATCCAAAAAGCACCAGCACCCTTTAAACACCATTCCCCCTCATTTCACCAGGATTTGTCTCAGGAAGCAGTAATACAGCTAAGCAAGGAATAAATACCTCCTGCCCTACCCTTTGCAACTGCTGCTCACAGAGATACCTTGTCAGATCAACCAACCTTTAACCAGCCACAAGCTCATGTAGGTCACACTTTTCCACTGGCACCTGACCCCTACCTGTGGGCTTTAAGCTACTCCAAGTGAGGACACGGCCCTTGTCGCAGGAACTGACTGTACCCCAGGAGCCATGCTTTCCAAAGGTGTTTTCACATTAAAACGCAGAAGAATGCATGTCCTTACATACAAAAAAGCCCTTGATGTTCTGAAAACAGGGTATTTACAATGGCATGTCCCATTAGAGACATCATGGGCTCACTTCAATGATATGGTGAAAATCGATTCAGTACCAGGTCAAGAATAGCTCAGCAAGAGAAGGAATATTTGCATGGGAATGACAACATCCCAACACAAAACTGGTCAGACAGCAGAACACAGCAGAAGGGCTCTAGCTGCATTACCTTGGTGACAGAGTCGTTAACATTGATAGCTGGCACTTTCAGGGTCCCATTGGCCTTCATCTTGTACAGGTTGTGAACTCCAGTGGTTGTCTCTTCTGAAATACCTCTAATTCCTGTGGGGAGAGTAAAAGGATTCACACCTTAGTTGAAGTTAATGCTGCTGCAAACCAACACATCCAGGCGCTGGGAGCATCCTCCAGAGGCCTAAGTTAAACAAACCCTTTGCATGAAGCAGGGAAGAGATGAGAGCCCTCATTTGGATGCTCAAATAGTAATTTGAAACTTCAAACCAGTTTCTTCCCTCACAAGGCAACTAAAAGAGCAGGACAAGTATTCTTTGGAAAAATGGAAGGGACCAGCTCTAGACCAGGGAATCAGGAAAGACCCCACTCTAATCTATTTTCTCACAAAACGATCAAAAAAACTCTTCTGCAAAAAAGGGCAAGATGTTCACCTCAGTGATGTTTCTACAGCCTAGTCCATTCTTGCAAGGTGGCCTGAAAGGAGATGATACCTAGATAACCACACTTAAATCTAAAGCACTTGGATCAACTGAAAAAAAGTAAAAAAGAAAATCAAGTACTCAGTTTACCATTGCCAATCCTCCCGTTGCAATCAACTTCAGCTCTGATTAAACAGTTGATACCCCCCCTCAATCTGGATACTAGCTACGGGAAAATTCAGTTTCGTGAGTATTACTAGCACAACCAAAAAACATTATTTCGAATATATCCTTATTTGAGAACAGTCCAGGAGGCAGAGACCAAAGGACTGTCTAGAAACACCAATGTCATATAATGGACTAAGATCCTGACAACACAGGAACTGTCATGGGGTTACCTTGCTCCACATTGCACCAAAAAGCCAAAGCTGTAAAAGCAACCCCTGCTTTGAGGGTCCTGACTCTTTGTGGACCTTTAGAAAGCAGCCAGTTGTTCAGGAGTGGCATCACTGCACATGACTTCTGGATAACTCTCCTCTCTAATGTCTCAATAATCTCATTGGATATAAACTGTCTAGTTGCTACACTGGGCAACATCCTGATTACTTAGAAAGCCTATCTGCACAAAAAGGTATCCAATTTATGACAATCAGAATAAATCTGAAACTAAACTATCCAGTCTGGCTGAATTTCCACTGTAAAGGATATGGTAATTATGTTTGTTCTTTAAGGACTGTAGGCATACTGCAAGACAAGTATTTTGCTGAAGTATGAACTACTGGGGGAAAATAGAGGAATTCTGCTAAATCAGGCTGAAATCACCATCACAAGCAACATCCCTATAAAGAGATCCATGTAGCACTTGGAGCTAATTCAGATTCAAAAGAAAAGAGAAAATATGAAAACAATGACTACCAAGTTCTACATGCACCACAGATTTATGCAGAGAAGATATTGCCCCTCCAGGCAAGCAGCCTCTCATGTTGACCTTGTAGAATAAAATCGAAAGGATGCTCATAAACAAAATAATTTTACAGTCATTTTGACAGAAAAACTCTGAGAAATAAACAACATTCATAAATTGTTCTGTTCGGGCCCTTTTACTGATGAAGCAGGTGACAGCCCAAGTTATCCTATGTGAGTGCACATGAACAGAAATATTGCTCCTTTTCATGTAGTTTTTCTTAATTACTCTCCCTCACTGTATAACATATAATCACTCCCAATTCTTACATACATTTCTTTTTTTATCCACAGTCTATCCACAGCCCTCTTAGTATTTCAAAGAGATGAGCACTAGCCTTCCTATTTCAGAAACAAAAGCAGAGGGGCCAAAGGACTAGCCCAAGATCACCAGCCAGCAGCAACGGCAGGGCTCCTCAACCATGGCGCACACACCTCCTCAGCAGCCATTACTTTAGGGATGGGCAAGCAGGAACCAACAACAATAACCCCCAGCAAAATCCAAAATATTATTTACATAGTCCGTTAATTCTGGGTATCGAGAAGTGTCCAAGTGTCACTACCTCCCCAGCCACCAAGACCTACAAGAAGTTTATGGGACAGGATGAATAACTGGAGAACCACCTCTCTGAACAGCACGCAGAACAGTCATCGCTGTTGGGAGCAACAGCATCAGCACAGCCCAAGGCAGGAAAAGGAACAAAGCTAAGATCAGCACCTCCAGCTGAGCAGCTGGCTTTGCCTACAGAGGACAGACAAAGAGGTCAGCCACCCGAGGGGCCTGCAGGCTCCAGGCAGGCTCCTTGAGCCCAGACCAGGACCCTGCAAGAGCACCAGAGGGCAGGAAGGACAGAGCATGCGTTTCAGAGCCACAGGTACCTGCACCTTCCAGGCACCCAGGGGTGCTGTGCCTCCCAGGCACAGCTCCCTGGCAGGCTACAGAGCATGGCTCCTGGGAGAAGGCAGGCAGGCACTTTGCCCCAGCCTTTTGGGTTTCATCTGCCTGGCTGGAACAAGAGCCAAGTGACAGCCACCAGCAACCCAGGGGCTCAAGTCTCAGGTCAACCCCCAGCAAGGGATGGGCACAAAAAAGAGGAAAGGGGAATCCCAAATTTATACCAGAGCTCAATTAAGTGAGAAAGAACAAAGCTTGTTAGAGTCATCTTCAAGGCTCACAGCTTAAGCCCTCAGGAAGCACTGCTCACTGCATTTCCCCCAGCCCGCATCTGGGAGACACATGCCCCCCACCCAAGGTCTTCCCACTTCCAAACTGGGGGGACCCGTGGCAGCCCCCCTACCCCGGTTCCCCCCACCTCACCTGCATCCACACTCCACACCCGGTCACACTCCATGCATGGAGATGCTACTACAACCCCCTCATCTGACCTCCTCGAGTTAGGTTAGCAGCATGCGGATGCTGATTCTGGTTCACACCCATCCCTACGGCTTAAAAAAAAAAAGCTGCAAACTCATCTAAGCCTAGATGAGCTAAGCAAGCCAAGAACACAGACAACTTTGGTTTAAGTCTGAGTGTGATTCAAAGCAGTTTTGAAACTAGAATTTCTACAGATGTCTCAACAGAGTCTAAGACAGAGCCATTAGATCTCCCTTTCGCTTCCCAGACCACCAGGTAGAAGCACTGGCACTCCATATCACATGGAGGAAATGAGACCAACAACACTAGAAGGAAACATAGCTTGATTCGGCTGATTTGTCGTCACAGACCTCACACAGAGCCTTTGGTAACTACACTCCCCACATGGTTACCTGCAGAGAGAATGACTCCAGGCTTTAGCATATTTAGGGCTTGCTTGAAGGGGACAGGACAGTTTAAAGAACATTGCCTGGTGTACAGTGAAATACAGCATCTGCAGCAAGTCTCCCAAAACTATCAATTTTCCAGTGCAACTGCCTAGATCAAGTACAATCATCCCCTTGTAAAGGAAATCTGTGGGAGGCCACAGCAGAAACCTCCAGTTCAAACCTGCCCTTTCTCTTCCGGTCTATCTGGCAACATCATCCTTCAAAAGCTCTCCCGGTTGACATTTCTAAGCTTAGCAGATTGTCTTTAAAATTGCACTACGCGAACCTCACATCATGTACACCAGCAGCTCCCCTTCCCTGAAGGCCACCCCCCTGCCTGCCCCAGGTGACATTTATAGCTGGTCTCAACTACTTTGCAACTCTGCTAAAAGAAGTGCTGCCTATACCACTCAATTTCAATGCTTGAGTGACTGGAGAACAGCGAAGGGCCAACAGCAAGGAAACGGTTGAATTAAATTGAGAAAACCTTGCTAAACACTCAGACCTGCTTTGCTCCCCTGTATTTCTTGCCTGATCAATGAGGAAGTCTGCATCAATGGATCACAAATGATCCAATCTTCTCCATCCTTTCTCAACAGTAGTCTTCTGCACAGATGCCAAAGACCTCCCTTGCACGAATTCAGATGACTTTCTCCTTTGTTCAGTTCTAGTTTTCCCCCTCCTACCTTATTTATCTTGGTTTTAAGGGCATTTAGTTTAGTGGAATAAGCCAATAGTACAAAGGCCATTCTGCCCTCTAACAGCAGTTGCAATTAGGGAGAGGGGAAGCTTGCTGAGCATTTCCACACAGCTATTTAACACATCTCCTAGTTGAAGTAGACTTGAATGAGCCCTGCTTTCAACTGTTAGTTGCACACCAGGACTGAACTAACTTGTATTTAAATTAGAAGCAGCTGAAGCATGGAAGACAGTTCCCTTTGAAACTAGCCCAGAAAACTTGTCCAGCCTTTAAATGGCAAGCGGCACTTTCAGATGCTGCATGCCGAAATGTCTCCTGTGCTCATGATCCAGTCTTTCCACACACTGTGCATGTTCAGCTAATGTTACTCTTGTCCCGCCTTTCCCCCAAAGAAGTCAAATGTCACCACAAGCCCTTAGGATACATTAGCCTCTATTATCTTCAAGATACAAAAAAATGGATACTACACAGCTTCATTTAAGCAGTCTTTGCAGCAAAGGGCTAAGTTCAGAGCTCAGTTACATAAGAGCAAGACTCTACTCAGTGGGTCCCATTCTGGAAGTTTTGCTGTTTCCAAGGAGCAATGGACTGGAAGGTAAAACAGATCAAGTTCTGTCACCCTCCAGAGAGCTCAGTCTTAATTAGTTTACTGAACTGCTGCAGGAGGCTTTTCAACTAGAGTCAGTGCAGATAGCACACACATTTTGGCAAGAGAAACACTGACACGTGTGGCATCCTGCCTAGACTCTTTAAAAAGCCCAGTGGAAGAGCCATTCCTATGAATTTAGGAAGCAACCCCAGGCAGTAGGGATGTTTTTTATCAATGGCAGACTAAAGATGGATGCCAATACAGGGGACAGTTCAACACCCATTGCCCTACTGCACCATACTATACCAGTCCCTTCCACACCAGGAGCACAAGACAATTAAGAGGGAGCAAAGGGCTGGAGGGGAGAAAGAAGCAGACAGCAGGAGGGCTGGAAACGTGAAAGGAGATCAGCACAAGGACCCCCAGGAACAGGGACACCACCTGAAGTATTGCATGTGCATGGCAGGGAAACAACCCTGCAAAACAGAGTATGAACATGGAAAATGCATTTTTTGGCCTCTGACAATGCCAGGAAAACAGGGAGGCATGATCAGTTGTGGTATTCCTTGGCATCAAATGGCAGGAAAGCAAGAGGTCACAACATCAGACAGAGGCAATCTAGGAAGCAAGAGACCTTTCACAGAAGAGAGGGGATCCCAGCATGACTGAGCAGACACCAATGAAAACCTCTCATTACAGTTTAAATAACAGAGATATTGACTGTTGGATTACTAATGACATCAGGTTGAGGATGAAGGAGAAAGTGAGGCCTGTCACACAGAAGAAGTTTCTTCTCTTCCTTGTGCCCCTATCTGCATGAGCACATGGATGGGGAGCAGCCCCAGACTCCTCCCCTCATACAGCCCTATCCATGGCCTGATGCCTTCAGACTTTTTCCCCATAGCTTCCTCTTAAAGCAGTGTAAGAGTCAGAGGAGAGCTGATCCAGCAGGCTTCTACAGCAACCTCACCTCTACGGACCAGGAACGAACATCAGCACACCCCACTGCATCAGTTTAGTTTCCACCCCATATCACCATCCAATTTTCTTCACATCCCAGATCAAACATGCCCTTTAGCAACATTGGGCATCTGTGGCTTGCAGCAGCACAGATGGACTCTGGCAGAGCTAAGGAGAATGTCATACTTGCCAGGCACAGATCAGCCTGCTACTGCAGGTCATGTCAAATTCCCTTCAGACAGATCTTTTTACATGTGCTAGCAACACCACAATGATCTGTTTTCAGTTTTACTAACTTACAATGAAGGTAATAAGTCAAAGCAGCAAGAGTCCCAACCCTGACTCCATCAGCGTCTTCATTGACATAAACTGGATGAGTTAACACTTTGTAGTTTATATAAGGTAGAAAACTGTTCCCTTTCCAAAAAAGCCTACAGGTTGTCATGACTTCATCCAGAGGTGCACTAAGAGGATGGGGAAGAAAAAGCATTAATGTCAAAAATATTAACTGCCAGCAGACATTAAGCAATTCTACAACACAGCCCATTTCCAGGAAGCTTTTGGCAAGTCAGTAGTACCACTGGTCATTCTCAGGTAACAGGCACTGTGAAGGATGGCCAGAAGGACAGGTCCCTGTAGCTTATATATTACAGAGCAGAGACAGAAACGGCTCCTGCAGGTAAGAGATTCTGGTCTTGGACTAACCAATTTTCATCGACTCATTCATAGCCTGTTTGCACATGCCTGTGCCTCTTCCCCCACCCCTTTTACACAAGCAGGAAATTCCCACAGAAACAGACTGTCTAAACAGCCTCCCAAGCAGAACTGTGCCTGACAAAACAAAATACAAGTTACCTTTCAAGAGCTGTGGGTATTTGGTATGAACTAGGTTGGTAAGATCTCCACCATCATCCAAAATCATGTTGAGGGGCTGTCCATCCTTGAAGTACAGGGTCTGCTCAATGCACCACAAATATTCCTCGTCGGTCTCCCCTTTCCAGGCAAACACTACATGGGAACAAACACACACAATTAGCCGGTTTCTTACTCAGCATGTAGTAAAGCAGCCAAAGGAAGATTTCATCAGCAGCTCTCAGTAGCAGAGCAGGCAGACAGATGATTATCTGTGCCTGCAGGCCAGAAAAGACATTTGCACTGAAAAAAAGATCTCAGAATGCGCAGAAGTGAAATCACTTGCCTTCTGTTCCAGGCCATGAACTTGGTCAAAATTTTGAGACTTCACTGCTTTCCTTATTCTTCTTCCATGTTAAGAGGAAGAAGGCAAAGCAAACTAAAGCAGACTCACATCCACAACACCCCACTTCCTCCCCTAATACACCCTACGTTACCAGGAATTAGAAAGAGCGACTGCATATATTGATACAGACAAATTAAAACAACTACAGCATTTTCTAGCACAGCAGAAAAGAGGGACTAGACTTTAGCATGAGCTAAGCACCAGACTACAAACTCTTCAGCAACTTTGAGTTTAAATTCTAGTCTCTAGCACAGCGCTAAAATCCAAGCTGCTGTGCCTTGTCTGCTCTTATTAGGGCATATTTCTATATCAGTACATCTACCACCAGCAACATGCTGCAACCACTAGCATGTTGTATCTAGCAGCATGTTTGCCTTTCCAGGCATTTGTACTGGCTTCACGCTATACTTGAGCTTCAGTGGTACTCAGCCATTTAAACATATATTAGGCACATGGTTTACATACCCCAACATTTGGCTAAATTGTCACATTTTCATTGTTTACACAGAAAACTAACCCTTGAGCCACGAAGAGCCAATCATGCAATTGCCCCTTCTGAAGAAATGTGCATCAGTACTCATACTGTACCCAAAGGATCAGCATTCCTCCAAGCTCTCATAAATTCAGTATGTGAAGTGCAATATTAACAAAAAGAGCAAGTTACACAAAAGAAGGATACCAAGGGCAGAGGTCAAAAACAGACCAACACTCCACCTGTAAATTGCTCTCAGTTGCATTTTGGGTGTTGAGAGCAGTGAGAAAGGCAATATCGTAACATCAGATCTACAGAGTCCCACCTAGGCCTTGGACATCACATGCCAGAGACAGGCAGAGGAGGTGATGCCTGCAGCTAGTAATGCCAAAGGAGCTGATGAAGGGACCACTTTTTTTCCGTTACCTTAGAATGGACCACAGCTGGGCAAAGACTTGTGGCAATAGGTAATAACAGAAATGAAAGACACCTCCCAAAGCAAAGAACCAGGCTGCCAGAAATCAGATTTAGCCTCTGCCAACATCTGGGCTCAGGCCATGCGGTTCCCAGCACTGAGCCATGAGGACTGTATGTCCTTAAACTAAGTAACACAGCAGACAGCTTAATGTATTCATACTGACCTGCAAGGAATTGCTTTTTATTGGAAGGTGACAGTAACAAAACAGCAGCATCCTGATAAACCACTTCAGGGACATTAGCCAGCAACACAGCAGGCCTAGCTCTAGCCTTAAAATATCTTGAGTATTGACCCTGTCACTAACAGGGCACACTGCAGTTAACATCCCTTCCCTGACCCCTATTTAGCACCAAGCTTGCTGGAAAGCACCAAACACCTCCATCTATACACACCTACACACCAATCCATTTAATTACTCAGCCCATTCAGTCATCTTAATGCCAAGGCTTAAAGCTGGTAACATACAGCCAGGCTCTTTCACAGCCTAACACCAGCCATTGTCAGGAATGCTACGCGTAGTCTGATGCAATGCAGCTTGAATCAAATGTCCTGTTTTGTAACAATCACTGCTTTTGATGGGCTATTTCTGTCCTGAAGCTTGTTCAGAAGAGCTTGATTTGCACACAGTTTGATTTAGCTAGAACAGGCAGTACACCCCAACTCAGAGCCAAATTAGAACATGGAAAACTTACCAGGGACACCAGCTTTTGCAATAGCAGCTGCAGCGTGGTCCTGAGTGGAGAAGATGTTGCAGCTTGACCATTGTACCTGGAAAACAACCCAAGTTTTGTTTGCTGAACAAAGTTCTGAGATATCAGGCACTCTCTTCCAGACACAGGAGTTAAAAAGGGAGCGAGAGCAGAAAGGCATATTAGTGCAGAATCCTGCCTTTCTCCGTAGCTCTGCAAAGTTAAGGTGAAAACTAGGTATCTGACTAGGCCAGGGAAAATAACGTCACTTTGGGAGAGAATGCAATGGAGCTTTAGCTGTGCCACATATTCGGCCATCTCCTTACTCACCAGAGCTTCTGCCAGACAGCCAGAGCGTACATTCAGCTATAGATCTTCAGGAAGTGCACAGTAGGGTGGGTTTAGAAAACTTTGGTCAATAAAGTTCAGATTTTTCAGAACCGCCACATAGCAAGTGTCCCCCGAGGGATATGGACATGCAGCAACACACCTGCTGGCACTCAGTCAAAAATGCAGCTGAAACACTACACTCAATCATCAGGCATTCTCCAAGATTATGCTCAGCCAACTCCCACTCTGTGCTCCAGTCATGGAGGCTTTTCCAGCTGAGCTAAGCCTTTTCCACACAGAATTCATAACTAGGCTCAGGCACCTAGAAAAGCAATAGCATGTTGCTGAGTTGCATTCAAAAGTATCTGCATACCTACTGCAGCTCCCCAGCGGGCACAGAAGCCACCACAACCCAGAGCCACACACAAGTTCTCACTCTTGCTCCCTACAGGGCTGACTGGCAGGTATTTGCATGCTTATTTGTAACAGATCTTGAGGAGAGAGGGCAATAAGGCATAATCCTTCAGCTTGTTTTCAGATACTCATCCCACTTTATCAAGGACTGGCACTTCAAAGTAAGGGCTGCAGTGGGAAGCACCTCACCTGAGCCTACACAACCAACACTTGTCAGTGAAAACACCTGGTAGGAGCACAGGGAAACTGAATTCATGACCTTAAGCACTGCACTGCTTCAGTACAGATGACATCAGGAGGTGTCATGAAATTCAAAGTATACAGAATATCTATATATTGTTTACACTTCAAGCACTTGATACAAGACATAGGCCACTCCAACTCTGCATCCTTAGATCTGTAACATCAGTTTGTGATAATGGCATAGACCCTAGAATAACTGGCGTACCTGATGGGCTAAGAGCCTATTATTTACATCACTGGTTATGAAGAGGATGCATTTTTATTACAATTTTAGAACTTCTACTCTGAGGCACAGAGTATTTATTCTATCTTTGTTAACATAGCCAAAAAAGGGATACCAAGATTACTATGCTGCAGTGAGCTACATCCTCATTAGGTAGGGTATGGGTTTCAGAGTTTCACTCCTCCCTCCCAGGCACCAAAGTTCTGGCAGAACAGATGAACCAGGGCTGAATCCAAACTCAAATCGAAGTCTAAACCAACATGCAGGTATCAGGACAAGGAAGGAGCTAACACGACAGCACCCATCTTAACAGCACAACTATAACTTATGCTTAGAGGAACCAAATCAGGTACCTCCCTGCATGACTTGGATGAATCCCATACAATGCTGACTTGGGGCTGTGCTCAGACTAAAGTAGCTTGGCAATGTTTAAGCACACAGCTGCTACCTAAGCCAGCCACACTGGGGCAGAGCAACCAACAGAAGCAGCAAGGTGCTTCCCAGATTCCAGTGGCTACTACTTTCTTTTAAATCCTGTGGAGGGACAAGAGTTTCATACACAGAGTAGCTGGAATAAAGCCAGGACTGTACCTCCACATGAAAGCTCTCCTTCAGCACTGCACCATCTGCAACCGTGGAACAGAACAGGCTGAAGAACACCTGCACAACAGCACACACCTTGCCCAGGCTGACCTGGCATGCTGTCTATACATACCCCCTCCACTTTTTGAGGAAACGCCTTCGCTGCTACAGAGAGCTTCCCCTTCTCCCAGTGCCTTTCGATCAGCATGACGCTGCTCTTTTCATCATTTGAACTCTTTTAACCATTCCCAGGGAGGGATCCCATATAAGGCACCCCTGGGCAGCCTGAGTTCAGGGAGGTAAACTTCAGGAAGAAGGAATTTCAGATCACATACGTACTTAACATAATCCATTATCAAGTTCCAGTCAGCTCCCTGCTCAGCACGCAAGCTATGTGGATTGTGCTCAGATGCCTGGCTCTCCTCATGCCCTGTACAGTGAACACTCAGCCGTGATGTTTGGACTTCATTCAGCAAGCCAGGCAGAGGGGACAATGCAGTAAATGGCTTATTAAGTATCTCAGTCTTTAATATGGACCAGGGTAACTGGTCCATAGTCACACAACAAATTCAAAGTCAGTGGAGTCCCCAGCCCTCAATCACTGAACCACACTGCCTCCCTGTTGTTTTCCTGCACAGCTCAAGGGCTGGCATGAGTTCTCAGAAAGCTTCATTAGTTTTTGCTGACTTTAACCAGGGCACGGTGTGCTTCTAAATACAGGCTAATCTGTGCTGGAGGCAGTCGCTAGAGCTTCAGCATTACCAGCAACAGCACTGCAAGCCCGAGCACAACACAATTGCGTGGGAACAGCTTTCGGCACCACTGCTCAGGGTGCTGTACACACAGCTGACAGAGCTGCTGAAGCCAGCGACCCAGCCCAAAACAGGCACTCATGAAGATGCAGCTTGTCCACAGGGAAGACACATAGCACATCCCAGATGTGCACGTACTACAGGTGACAAGCTTTTTGCTTAAGGAGAGAAGACATAATCCATCCACCTGGAGACTGCAGCACGGTCTCTTCCAAAAAGTACAGACATCTGCCAGGATCCCCTAAGGCAGTTATATAAGCAGAAGCAGTGCCCTAGGCAGAGCATTACCTAAGAGCACAATGAAGGAGAAACTCAGAGACGCGTTACCTCAGCTCCCAGCTCTATAAGGGTCTCTATGAGAACTGCCGTCTGCACAGTCATATGAAGGCATCCGGCGATACGCGCACCTTTCAGCGGCTTTGACGCAGCGTACATCTCCCGCATCTTCATCAGCCCTGGCATCTCATTCTCCGCAATCTCAATGGCCTTGCGACCCCAGTCTGCAAGGCTGATGTCAGCTGCAAGAGAAGGAGGACAGGTGCCAGTTTAAATAGCTGAGACCTTGGTATCTGTTCACACACTTGTGGATAGGCATCGGTTGCAACAGCTGAACTGAACACCCAGCAACAGCTGGGAGAGAGTTGGGGGAAAAAACAGACCCTATTCCAGTTACTCTCTGCTTTTTTGCTGTGGTACATAGGCTTTCAAACAAATTTAGGCCAAACGTAACAACCCCTCTGCAAAAAAGTGTGCTCGTGTATGAGCATATTAATGAATTGTGATCTAGTGTGCAGACATCCTGAGGCCCATTAATTCAGTAAGCCCTAGCCTCAAGCACTCCTCCTTACAGATACTGCCCAAGGGTCTGACACTTCCTATAGAGATTTACTTCCACAGTGTTCAGACTTGCAGGGGGGCTGCCTGTATGGCAATAGCTTCCCCACATGAGAACACACATAGCATGCTCCCTGCCAAATGCACCAGGAGCTGAGCCCAGCCCAGCTCCCACTCTTAAAAGCTAAGTTGCAGGGTTTCTACCCCCTTGGATCCACAAAGATTATTTTCAAGGCACCATAACTACCTTAGTTACAAGTCTACTTCTACCGTTGTAAAAAGGATCTATAGTAGAAAAGTTCAGCAAAAACTGAACAAAAGAGACTTTCGACAGGCTGGCTTCGGGTAGAAAATAGCGCACTTACCACAGATGTCTGTCTCCAGCCTTAAAGAGGCAAGGGTCAAACAGTTAATGCCTAGGCACACCACTTTGTGGCACTGGCCGACACCAAGTGTCCCTCTTACTTGGTTAGCTCTTTCAGAGATTCCAGAAGCTTACCATTTCACTTAAGAACATGGTCAGATACTTTTCTTTCACCTACCTAGTGAACGCAGGCCGTTTAAAGCACTCAGGGACACTAGGACCTCCGAGTCAGACTCCCGCGTTCAATACAGACAAGCTAATTGCATTTTGCTCCAGAATGAAGCCTAGGGGCCACTGAAGTGATTGCCTACGCTTTAGCTGACTGGTGCACAGCCTTTACACCAACGGAGGACTGGAAAAAGCCTAGGCAATGGAAGGGCCATGGAAACAACTATATCAAGGGGAGGTCTTGAATCTTACCCCTCTTAAGGGCTCAGCAGTTTTGCCAGGGCTGCTTAAAAATATATCCCATAGTATTTTAGGTTCATAGCCTCCAAGGCAAATTATTTCTGAATCTGAGCCTTATAAACTAATGTTCTTCTCTTTGCATTTAGCCTTCAAAGAACACACAACTCTTTATAAAAATCAGGTTTTTTGTGGAGCTTCACGTCTACAAAAATACCCGCCAAAATCTTTAGGAAACAGATTTAGGTCCCAGATTTAAAGACGCTTTTACATTCGGAGGGAAAGCCTGTCCCCAGCGAAGGGCTTCCGCCGGGCAGCCGGAGCGGGAGAAGGTCCGGGGACGGGGCAGCGGGGCTGCCCACGCCGCGGGGCGGCACAGCAGCGAAACCGCGGGTGGAGACCCCACTCGTGCCGCGCTGCCGAAAGCGACAGCAGCTCCGGAGAGCGGGTGCGGCCCCCCGAGAGGCCCCCTTCTTCTTTCTCCGCGGGTGTTTCGGCAGCACGGGTGCAAAAGCAGCCCTGCCCCACAGCGCAGAGGAGGTTTCAGGCTTGGATTCCCCGCCTGCCTCGCCGCCCCCGCTC